ATAATTTGGTCCATGAACCCGCCCCCTCTTCTTCTTCCTTACCTTTGGGAGACGATGAACGCGATAACATATCTGGACCCCGAATCTTTCGGCATTTATATCTATCTATCTATATCACTAACAACAGCTATCCACGCAAGCATTTTGTTTTAATTTCTGACAAAGGACTTGGGTGGCCAGTTCAAACGAGACACAAAACATGTTCCATGAAATCCCATAAGTGAAGATTGGATAGTGATCAGCAAAACAGATAGCACACATTGTAGTGAAAATAGACATACCAGTTTTGCAACATCAGCAAAGGTCGGATCCGCGAACTCAATCAGCGCCTGTGGTACGTTGCTTGCCTTGAACGTGACGATTTTCAGGATTTCGCCGAATGGGCGAAATATCTATGAACACGAGAGATCGGTGAAGAGGGTCAGCAGGCAATGCATACACAGCGTAAGGTTAACTTAACATGCAGATTGGCACAGTCCAAACCCGAACAGCTAAGAGTTGCAGTCTCACGCAGGCGTTTGCTACCACTTGCCAATACAGCAGAGCCTGCCTATTGTGGAATTTAGGCTTCTTATTTCCTTTATTGCATCGGTTAGGCATTGTTACATATCAACTCTGTTAAGAAATTCTACTGTGAACCTCTAATAGTGGTGTCTTTAAAGCATTTTAAGAATCTGCAGTAGAAAAAAAAACGGCAAACGGGAGCGGCTTCAAATTTTAAAAAACTTGCAAGCGTCACTGAAAAGCGCACAGTGAAGTTTGTCGCTTACCTTTCATACCCCTAGCCCTGTGGTGACTTTTACTTTTAGTAGTTTTCGTTTTTAGTTTACTATTTAGTTTAGTTAGATACCGCCAAAGTTAGATAAATAAACTTAAATAATTACGATATACTAAATTAACTAAACTAGGCTTAACTTAACAGAGCTAAATAAACTGAAAACTAAAATACACTAAAACTAAAAGCAAATTAATAAACCAAACGACAGGACTGTCTTTAGAGGTCCTTTTTGACTATGACTTATAATAATAACCTACTTTTACATTTTCAGTAATCCGACTTCTCCTTTCCCGATAAATTCCGCCAATTTAAGGTAAATTTCTCTTTTTTCGTTAAGTTCCGCCAAGATAAGGTTGAATTACCCTCAATCGGCATCAGTATCCTGAGCAACAGGAGTTTGCGTTGATGGATTTGATTCAATTTAGTACACAAAAGCAAATATTGGCTTCCTTAATTTAATATTTTTGATCACTTCCACCACAATCAAATATTCATTTTTACTCACTAACCAAGAATTAGATGTTTGACCACAAAATACGTTAGGTGGTTGGACGGCGAGAGTATATATTTAGGGGACCTTACAAGACCATTTTGCCAACTAAACTAATAACACCAGTCCCGTAAGACAGAACTAGAGGACTAAATGGGTGACCAACTTAACGGTTATCAAAAAAAGAAACAAACGTAAAAGCGTACCTTATAAAAATGCATGTAGCCCAGGGGTACGGTGGGAGCCTGCTCAATATGAACCAGGAGTACGCACCGACTGGTCTCCGAGGCAGACAGCGTGGCGTACAGTCTGTTCGCCGATAGTACACTTTCCATGGCGCTGGCTGAAACAGTTGTATTCAGCTCGGTGTACTTCGAGTACTGGACACCGAGAAGGCCTAGTCCGCGAATTACTGGAGGGTTGTAGGTGTTGTAGTATTCAAGCATCTTTGAGGCGCTTGTCTGCGATTGGAACTCCAGAAAGGCCTAAGGAGAAGGAGAATGAGCCAGGTAAATGGGGTTATAGTAGGCTTTTTCCGGGTGCCACAAACAGCCTTGATTGGGGAAAAATTTTAACAAAGGGCCGGCCTGTAACGCAAGTCTGAACTTCCACAAAAGAATGCACCCTCAGGTTGGCAGCCGGCAGCAGACTGAACAACAGGGCGGGAAGGGGATGATGGTCAGAAGGAAGGGAAGTTTTCGAAGATAAAAAAAATACGAACAGAAAAGCAATGAATTGAGTCGTGATACTTTCAGCTGCCAATGGTCAAAACGCCCAAAACTCCCTTCTAGCAGCAGTAAGCGTGCTTAATACTATTCCTGTGAAGATGCCTAAAGTTGAAGCACAAAAAGTAGAGCACCTGTGGTGTGTACATGGAGAACAAACATGGAGGGCAGGGGGACCTGGGAGTCCGATCTTAAGCCTCTATAGTCTGCAGTAGTTTGGTCGCTGCACGTTCACTTTTGGTGGTCCCACTATGCTCGACTTCGGCGCTCCTGGATACTCCGTACTGGTGAGCATGGTCCTTTGAAAACGCCGTGGGAAGTAAGTACTTCAGTTCAGCGCAGTCTTATTATGGGAAATTGGGCGAACGCCTTTGAACTCCCTATTGTTAGCAAGGTAGCTAGGAAATGTATAGGTACCAAAGAAAAATTGAAGAAATACGTCAACTACATGCTTACAGGCGATAAGCGTGCAGCTCATGGTTGGTTGAATTAGTAATCTTAAATGGCTATTCACTTAGCAGGAGTAGTATAATTGTTTGTGTAATTGTCTTCTGCTTGCGTTAGCGTTTGCCTGGTGAATGAGATCTTAGATGCATGTTCCGTTTGCTCTTAAATTTATTCAAAGAGATGGAGAGAACAACCTCCTCCATGCTGAAACCACTCTGTTACTGAAGAAAAATTAAATACATCGATTTTTGCTTTGCCGGGGCGTAATTTTAAGAGA